AGGTGGCCTGAGTGGGGCCCTGTCCAGTGAAGCCTGTGGTTTTGATCACCTCCACTTTACTCTGGTGGTTGGGCTGCTGCTACACAGCTAATTGGGGCTCTTCCTGTATGTGCACCCCGGTCTCGTGCCTTCCTCTCTCAGGTCCCCCACATTCACCCACCCTCCTCCTTTTTCAGCACAACAAGGCCAGTCAGCCTTCCCACGGTGTCCCCCAACTCTCTCCTCTCTATGACCATTTCAGCAGCCCACACACCACACCTGCTCCAGCCGACATCAGCCAGAAGCAAGGTATGGATCCTGGATGGGAAGGGCCCAACAAGACCCAGAGCCGGGGAGTGGGGAGATCAAATCCCAGCCTTCTGAGACCAGGTGGCTAGACCCTTTTTGTAAATGTAGAACCTGGGGCTGTGCAAACTCAGGGCCCCTCGAACATGCCCAAAAGACTGAGGAGCCTGAGGGCACCAAAGGGTTGGGGAAGGTGGTACCTGGTCAAAATCTGAAGGCTTCAGGTTGAGGTAGGAGCCTAAATCCTGTGTGACTACCCAATACCAGTATGGGAGTAGGCCTCTGTGTAAAGCTGATAAATATAAAACTTGTAGTCTTTCCCTCCCCCAGTGAGAAAATGGAAAGTGGTGGTTGTGATGGCTGATTCACCTCAGCCTCGGGCAAAGTCATTCTGAAATCAGCCATTGTCGGCTGTGGGAAACCTGCTGACTCAACCCTGGGGAGGAGGGGGCACGGGGTGGGGGGGGGAGGGGGGGAGCCCTGGCTCCCCAGGCCAGGGGGGTCTGCCTCCTGCCCAGAAAGCCAGGCTAGAGCCCCCAGCAACAGGCCAGCATTGGACCAGGGTGTGGCAAGGTCTGGCCTCCCACTCCTGAATGACTCCAACTCTGCCACTGTCCAGCCACTGTCCCGTAGGCAAGTCACCCAAACGCTCTGCCCTTGATTCTCCTAGCCTGTAAATGGGGCACTATTATCACACTGGGATAGTCCTGAACAAACCAGTATGTGTGGTCCTCCCTCTAGCACACGGATATGGGATCCTAGGAGGGCCCCACAGGAGGCTCCAAGATGCAGTAACTAGCTGAAGTGGCCTCCAGGTCAGGCTGGCTCACTTACTCGGCCCCTCTCCACTGCAGGAGTTCACAGGCCTCTGCAGACCCCTGACCTCTCTGGCTTCTACTCTCTGACCTCAGGCAGCATGGGACAGCTGCCGCACACTGTAAGCTGGTGAGTGAGGGCCCAGTGGGAAAGGGGCACCTTGCACTGGTTGGACCCATACCTGCCCTTCCATTTTCCTCCTCCACCCTTCTGCGCTGAGCACCCAGATGCCAGCTCTGTACAGATGCCAGCTGTGTACAGGTACCAGGGGCTGGCCAGCAGCTCTATCCATGCCTCAGCTAGCCAGACATACTCCCTTTGGGAAGGCAGGAGACCTAGCCCCTGGTCCTAGCCCTATCACACTCTGCCGTAACGTCTAAGACTTGAACGGGGGAACCCTGGGCTGTTCAGGGCCATATGAGTATGTGAGGAAGAAAAAGTAGGCCTGACCAGGGAGGTGGCAGCATGCATGGCCACAAGAGCAGCTGTTGCTTCTCAGTGGCCTGGTGGACAGAGGGATACTTCCCACTTGCCTCAGTGTCTACTGCTGGCTGGTCCCTTCCTTGGCTGAGCTGCTTGAAGGGCAGGGTCCTTCTTGCCCCTATGGTGCCTGCTTCAGTTCAAGCCCCTGGCATTCTGCTTGGAGAGTCTACTAAGGCTGGGCCAGGGAAAGACAGCCTGGATCTCATTCGGTAGGCCCGACTGTGAGTCAAAGGGCCCGTCTTCAGCTGGAGCTGGGCCTTGGCAGAGTACGTGACCCTTTGTTCATCATGCGCAGTTTGACCTAGGCAGGTCTCTAGCCTCTCTAGGTTGGGGCAATTACCCAAAGGCAGGAAAGCTTGGCTTCCCAGGAAGGCAGAGCAGGCCAGAAGCCCAACCTGGGGTCCACCTGCCCCTTCCTACTTGCCCTTTATCCACGTTCAGCTCACTCTTCCATGTCCAGATTGTCTCTGGATAAAGCTCCACCTTGAATACAAATCAGGACTACCCTTACAAGTGCCCCCAGGATGTAAGTGCACCGGGCAGGTTCTGGGAACCAGAGCAGCACTGCTGAAACTGGTTGATCCTCCGGTCCCTGCCCTCTCAGAACTCAGTCCACCTAGTGCACAAGTCAGGCAAGAGGCCAATTACAGAGCACTGTTAGCAGTGCTTTGAGGACTGTAGAAGCCTGGAGGGACACCTCATCCAGTTTGGGATCTCAAGGGCTTTCAGGAAAAAGGGTGTTTTGCCCAAGCAAGACCTTGACAGATGACCAGGAGTTTGAAGCAAAGTGGGACAGAAGAACAGTCCTAACAGTGTCAACAGTGAGTGCAAAGGCCTTAGGGCAGGTATGCAGGTATCAAGCCCAAATTTCAGGAGGTGAGGCTGGAGGGACCCCAGGGACCTACTAACCTGGGTCCCAGGAGAATGCTGCCATTTCTACCCCTTATACACGAGTAGAGGGAAGGTAAGCCTGTAGAGCAGGGGTTAGGAACCAGGCCGCACAGCAGGAGGTGAGCGGCAGGGCGAGCCCCAGTCCGTGGAAAAACTGTCTTCCACAAAACCGGTCCCTGGTGCCAAAAAGGTTGGGGACCGCTGCTGTAGAGGGAAAGGTTGCCCTCTGGTGGCAGGTGTTTAAAACATACACTAGAGTGGTCCAAGCAGAAGCCAATTTGCCTTGTTACACTAGGGGTCAGGCCCAAGCAAGGTGGGGAAGTCGTTCCCCACATTTGGCAAGTAGCCAGACTGCTAACAGCTATCTCTCCCAACCACAGGCCCAGCCCTCCTCTCTACCCCCTGTCCCCTTCCTGCGGATATAGACAGCACTTCCCCGCCCCCACCGCAGCCCCTGGCGCCCCCTACCCCAGGTGAGTCCCCTACCCTGCAGCTAGGCTCCTGCTTCCTGTTGCCCAGGCTTCAGTGCCCACAAGAGGCCACGCCCAGGACAGTGCTTGCCCTGTGTCAATCGTCTGTCCATCCGTCCGTCTGTCATTCTCCAGCCCCACGCTGTCCTATACCTGAGAATGAAGCCAGTGGGAGCGCAGGAGGCCTAAGCCCAGGCCATACAGTGCAAAGCACGACAGAGCAACCAGAGACAGTGCATGTACACGTGTGCAGGTGTGTGTGCACTCACCTCTGTTGTGCATCCTGCTGAGCAAAGGATGAGTCAGGACAGCATCCCCTGAGCTCTGCCCAAGCTGAGGCAGCACCTTTTACATGCATCTCCAACCTCTGGCCCTTAGGGGCCACCTGCTCAGTTATTCCATACCTGTGCAAGCAGTAAGGGACAGATTGGTATCCATAGAACATCAAGAAAGTAAAGTGGGAGCTATGTGTATATGTGTGTCCTTTCACTTGGCTCACTCCCTCAGTGGCAGGCTTGTGCGCAGGTATGGAACAAGGAGTTCAACAGACATTTCTAGCCCTACCAGAGCCCACAGCCCAGGGTGGGAGGTATAGACACAGCAGCAGCAGTTGAATGGGCTAGCTGGGTGATGGGGAAGCCCCGAGGAGACCCCAGCCATGTCTGATGGGTCAGGGAAGGCTTCATGAAGAGGATAACATCTCTTGAGTGAGGGAAACAAAGGGAACATCAGTAGCTGGAGATGGCTGGGTGTGGGAAGTGATGGGAAATGGGGTGGGGGGGGTGGGGCTAGAAATGTCAGCAGAGATGGCCATACAGGGCTGTGCAAGCCCTAGGGAGGAGCCTGGGTTTTATTCTGTGGGCAGTGGGGGAATTTCAACAGAAGTGGCCAAGAGCATTCAGGTGTTTTTAAAAGGTCACTCTGGCTGTTATACAGAGAGAGGCCTTGAGGGGTCAAGGAGGAAAGTAAGGGCAGCCACAGGCTGAGGCTGAGCTGGTGAGGGCAGGAGGTGAGAAGGGGATAGATTCAAAAGCTATTCAGGACTTCAGTAACCACCTGAATTTGACATACATGTAGATTTTTGCATCGTGTCTGTGCAGTGTGTTGGGAGCAGGTATTTGTATGTATTTCTGTGTACTTGTATGCAGGCCAGTGGAGGTGGGTATCTGTTCACCCTCTTGTACTGTGCAGGGGCCTCTCTGTGTCCAAAGATCTGGCCCGTACATACCTGGCTCAGTGTTAACTCTTCTTCTGCCTTTAGGTTCACCCATCCACCCCTGATGCTAGGTTCCGGTGTACCTGGTCACCCCGCAGCCATCCCCCACCCAGCCATTGTGCCCCCTTCAGGGAAGCAAGAGCTGCAGCCCTATGACCGCAGCCTGTGAGTGAAAAGACACTCAATGGGGACGGGGGGTGGGACAGGTAAGCAGACCTCAAGATACACATTCCTCCCACCAGGCCCAAGCCTGCTGCCTGGAAGCTCCAGGGACTGCCAGGAGGCCTCTGGCCAAGCCGTCCTTTGGCAGTTGCCACTGACCAGTTTTTTGATCCTCAGAAGCAGGAGGGGAGTGGGTGGATTTAGTTTGAGCCAAGAGGGGAGGGGCTTTCCTTACTTAGCTGCAGAATTCCTATAAGGAACAGTTACTTAGCTCTGCTTACCTACTTTGGGGCAGCTAAAAAAAAGATCCCATTTAAAAAACCCTAGTATCCAGGCACTTACACATACACTGGACACACTAGAGGAGAGTGGTAGCATCAGAACACCGTGGGGGCCCCTGAGTGATCTGTTCATGTGTCCTTCAGGAAGACGCAGGCAGAATCCAAGGCAGAGAAGGAAGCCAAGAAGCCAACCATCAAGAAGCCTCTCAACGCCTTCATGCTGTACATGAAGGAGATGAGAGCAAAGGTCATTGCAGAATGCACACTCAAGGAGAGCGCTGCCATCAACCAGATCCTGGGCCGTAGGGTGAGGCCACGGGGCAGGTGGGCTGGTAGGGGCGGGCCCTGACTACCTTCACCCCGGTGCAGCCTTCTGACTCCCTGATGCACCTCCATCTGCCCCCCTTCCCCTCTGCAGTGGCATGCACTGTCCCGGGAAGAGCAAGCCAAGTATTATGAGCTGGCCCGCAAGGAGAGGCAGCTGCACATGCAGCTCTACCCAGGCTGGTCGGCGCGGGACAACTACGTGAGTGGCCAACATACAGTAGGGGAACCTTCAAGATGCCAGGCCACAGCCTCACCAGGGAAGTTGGGACTACTGTCCTGAAGGCACAGAGGAGGAGGGGAGGTAGTAGAATAGAGGGTCCAAGGCCTCCCATGGCTAGCTCAGAAGAGGATCAGATGAGGGGAGCTTCCCCTAAAGGCAGGCTCATTTTCCCCAGGATGTACTTCCACACAGGGCTGTTGTCCAGTACTTGACTGGGCTGCATCAGCACAAGCGGAGGAAGGGGCCCGGAAGTCACCTCCTGCATTCAGAAAGGAGACCAGTGTGGGAAAGGGAGGCGGTCCCAACTGCTCCGTGGTAACCTAGCAACAAGTGCAATCAAGAAACACCAGGGCCCCCAAGTCAGAGGGAACTGTGGACCTGGAATCCCAGCAGCAGCCAGACTAGGCAGCAGGCTGCAGGTGTCCCAACCACTCGCTCACTGGGGTTACAGTGTCCCCCTCCCAGCATCCCCTGAGCATCCTCCGCTTTGCTCCCTGCAGGGGAAGAAGAAGAGGCGGTCGCGGGAAAAGCACCAAGAATCCAACACAGGTGAGGCCTTCCCTCAGCAGTAGTGGAGGCTCCTCTCCGGGTCCCCAGCTCACGAGCGCCCCTGCTCTGGCCCAGGAGAGGGGCAGAGTACTGAGCCATGAACCTTCAGGGCCTGGGCCCTCTGGAAACGAGGCCTGCATCTCACAGGTCAACCCCCCACAGGAGGAACAGCTACACTAAGTCCCAGGGAAGACCTGCAGAAGCCAATTCTTAGAGCAGTGCTTTGTGACCCGCCACACACACACCCTTGCAAGCCCTGCTAGCGGCCAGCCTCTGCCAGAGAAGCTAGTGAGGAACGGTTTGATTCAAGACTAAACCCAAATACTGCATCCTGGTTAGCTCTGCAGAGGTGAGCAGCAGGCTGTCTGGGTGGAGGCTGAGCCAGGTCCCATGCTTGAGCCCAGCAGTCACACAGCCTATTGGCTGGTGCCTAGCAATTTCTCTATCTCCCCACCCCCAGTTCTCACGGAGGTGCAAAGTGCTCTGTATAAGAGGACTCGGGAGGCCACACCCTGCCTCAAGTCTTCCTCTGGGTGAATTCCTGTCCCAACTCTGATACTTCACACTGCGCGTTCACAAGTGACTTTCTCAGCTGTGCTGCCCCACACAGGGAAGCTGGAAGCTAGGACTGGGAGAGTCCCCAGTCCTTTTTCTAAGGTTGAAGAATGGGCTTTACTTTCCTTCTGGAAAAGTATGTAGCATAGGCTTAAGCTACAGCCGCAGGGGATATGGGTCAGGCAGATTGCACACTGGCAAAGATGAAGAAAAGCTGGATAAAATGGGCAGGGAGTTGGCGGGGGTGGGGGGGCCCTAAGGCAGAAGAGGCTTGATCCCCACAGGCCCCCCAGGTTCTTCTCTGAGCTCCCTTGCTGCAAGGGGCCCCACAAGCCACAGAGAGGAGCCAGTCTGATAGGGTCCCCTCCCTCCCCACCCCCGCCGTTCTTCCCACTGCCTCTACACTGCCAGCTGGGTGCCACCCTTTCCTGATACCTTGGCTTTGGGCCCTGGGGCTCCCACTAGGGCTGGCTGTGCCGTGGAGAAGCCCTTGCCTGTAGGGACTGTGGGGTATCTGTGACTGGCTAACACTGATGTTACCTCTTCTTTCTGGGCCCTGCTCTGCCCTGCTGCCTGCCTGCTCGCCCTCTGCCCTGCTCTGCCCCTCTGGCATGGCTGTGAGCAGACCCTGGCTCGCCTAAGAAATGCCGTGCTCGCTTTGGCCTCAACCAGCAGACGGATTGGTGTGGTCCGTGCAGGTGGGTTTGTCCCCACCACTGTCCTCCCTTTGCTTCAAGCTGCTTCCCTTACTCTCTGCACATGTTCTGCTGGGCCTGCTGCCCTCCTTTGGCCCCTAGCCCCCAACATAGCCGCAGACTGGGGAGCCCATGCCTCCTAAGAATGGGAGTGAACACAGAACAGCTCGTGGGGAAGACCACTTGGGTCTAAGAGGAAGGAGAAGGAGAGACAACGCTCTAGGAGGAAAGGAAAGGCAGACTTAGAAGGTATTTCTGGTACCTGGTACCCAGGGTTCCCTGGTAATGTTGGTCTGGTGCTTATCAGGCCTAGCAGGTCCCCAGCAGACAAATCACACACACAGCATTTAAATGGCCTGAGCCCCTGTTCCCAGGCCTCAAAGTCATCATGGTCCACCAGCTCCCTCACTTCTTCCAGTTGGGATCCCTGCTGTACCATACGGAGCCCTTGATTCTAAGAATAACGAAGTGACTGCAGTAGAGGAAAACCTGAATAACCTAAATGCCCAGGGGCCATGTGACTTATATCATGTACCTGCTGAGACCAGCGGGCTCAGAGAGGTAGGGAGATGAACAGAGGTACCCCTGGTAGTCATACTCAGACCCTGTGGCATTAAACCTGTATGTTTCACCATACAACAGAGAAATATCTGTGTATGGGAAAAGAAAAGTATACCTACCAAATGGCTAAAGTTGCCTAGCTGAGGTTCAGGCCAGGCCTGCTAGGGCCAAGGCTCAGGCTGCTCCAGGCAGTAAGTTCACTGACTCTAGGGAATACTTGTCCAGCCCCTATGAGTGCCCACCATACTCCCTGTCTAAGGGCAAAGAGGAGTTTGGGGGAAATAAGTATGTGTGTGTATGTACACATGATGGGAGGCAACCCTGTTCTCAGAGGAGGCCCTATTCCATCCATTCTACGCTACTCGGAAACAAAGTGTTGTCCAGAGAATAAGATGGTAGGAATGGATAAGACAAGTCACTGTCCAATTCTTTCCCTTCTCTGCCCCTAACCTAGCTCTGAGCATTTGGATTGCTCAGCCCTAGAAGCCACAAGCCCATTGCAGCCCCCTGCCCCGCTTCCTTAATCAGATCTGAGCCCCACAAATGTGAAGCAGAGCCTCAACAGCCTAGACTAGGAGATAGCTGCCCTGGAAGATAGCAGGCAGCCCACAGGCCAAGCTACAAAAGGTCCCTGTGCCACCTTGTGGTTCTGCTGGGAGCTGCACCTGTCCCAGGTCTGAGCCAGGCTCGGCAGTTGTAGCGCTAAGCATGAAGGCACAGACATATCACCTAAGTCATGGGGAGCTAGGCCTATGCAAGGACAGCATTTTTTGGTTGTGGAGTATGACTATGAATTCACCCTCTGTTTACAGATAACTCTCTTCACTATTCCTAGGAGGAAAAAGAAATGCATTCGGTACTTACCCGGAGAAGGCCGCTGCCCCAGCCCCGTTCCTTCCGATGACAGTGCTCTAGGCTGCCCCGGGTCCCCAGCTCCCCAGGACTCGCCCTCGTACCTCCTGCTGCCCCACTTCCCCACAGAACTGCTTGCTAGCCCTGCGGAACCGGCGCCTACATCACCAGGTCTCTCGGCCACTCTCAGCCTCCCAGCCCCCTGGGCCCCCTCAGGCTCCTCACAGCAACCTGCAGAGTACACAGGTACAGCAACAGGAATCTCGGAGACAGGCAGCCTAGCATGCACAGGACACATGGCTTCCTCCAGGGGCCCACCCTCTGAGAGGAGACGACAGAGCCCCAAAGCACGTGGAAACCGGCCAGGGGCCCTGTTGGCTCCCTCTCAGAGTCCAGGCCCTGGGGATTTCAGAGGCTGCACATCTTCTGCCTGAACATGGGGCCATCAATTCAAACTGCTCCAAGTGGTGGGAATTAGATCTGCATTGTGTCATTTGATTAAGGGCATCCCCTCATGCCTATGGCAGACTGGATCTATTCTTTTTACCATCTATCTTGCTAGCCAGATGCCCCTCCCTGCCTCCCTTGCTTTTCTGCTATAGGTCATAGATGGACTGGACTGAGCCCAACTGCTTTCCCTACTTCCCCCACCCAACCCCACCACTGCCACACCCTCTCCCCATACAAGATACTTCATGGACCAAGAACAAGCTGGTTTACCAAACAATATGTAAGCATGGTCACAACCACAAAGCTCAAGACAACAGTGCTTCTCTCTTAAGGGCCTGGAGAAGCCCTGTTTACAGAAAACCAGCTGCTATCTGTAAGCTGGACCAAAGGAAGCTTCTTGCCACGTTCTTTGGAGCTTACAAGAAGAGGAGTGAATGGAATAGGTTAAATTTAGGCCTATCACCCTAGCCAACAGGAATAACCTGACACCACCTTAAAGGCAAGTGTGGGTGGTGAGGGTATGTGGCTCTAGTTCAAATTACTCAGAAATGTTTCCTAAGGAACTCAACCACCTAAGAAGCCCTGATACCAGATGCCTCAGTCACTAGTGGCTTCAGTCAACGGTTCAAGTAAGTCATGGCTCAAAATCCAGTGTGCATCCCTACCTGCTCTTGAGAGCCTTTTTCACAGATCCAGTTCCAGCCTATCCACATCATTCTAGCCAGCTCTCAGACAGTTGTAAGAGGGCAAACCAAACCTCAGGACAACCAGTGCCTATCTTCCAGCGTGAAAGTAGGCCAGCTTCAGTTTCCCTATGGGGCTGCAGGAAGAAAGACAACCAAAGCAAGGAGCCCAGAAAACCTCTAGTGGTGGACATCGGGTTTGCACCACAGCCTACTTTAACCCATTTCTGAGCCAAGCTTCAACCCTGAGCCTTAAAAAACAAATCTTTAATTTAACTTAGTTGGGTTTTTGCCTCCTCTTCACTGTACATAGCCTGAGTCCAAAGAGAAAGGGCTATCCCCGTACCCACACACACTCTCAACAAAAGCCTTTAGTTCCTACTTTAGCCAGTGGCTTCTCAGAATCCAAAGATCGTATGTTCTGGTGTAGTGTTGCAAGAAGTCTCGAGAGAAAAAAGGACCATTGTAGTATTCAAAATATTTTTGTATTGTTAATGCATATTACAGAAAAACTTTTCTGATATGAGAATAAAGATACTTTTTACTGGGTTTCTTTTTCAAAGCTTGACTCTGAGGAATAAGCTGTTTCAGTGACAGAGTATAACACTCTTTCC